TGAGGTGTCACCCCTCCCAGTGTGAAATAAATGACCAGAGGCCGTTGTTTTGGGCTAAGTCCCCACACTAGGCCCCCCAAAACCACGTGCCCCTGCTAGGTTCCAGGTCACCAGATCTAAACGAAGTCAGGCGAAAGAGGTAACAGCCAATCTCCAGTTTAAATCCTCGGTGGGTAAGATCATGACAGTCCCTCTGCTGTCGTCCTTACACAGAAGAGACAGCCCGAAGTAACCTGGTGTTAGCCAGTCGGATAAAGTACAAAACTATTTCTGCTTCGACAGCCTTAATTTTGGCGGCCACCTGCTAAGACCGCATGGCTTAGTGGAGGACGTGGTGGGCAGAACAATGAGCCCCACAGGTGCCCAGTCCCTGGAACCTGACGTGATGCCACCTGACGTGGCAAACGGGAATTAAGGTGGCAGGTGGAGTGGAGGTCACCAACCGTCTGACCTGGAGATGAGGAAGGTACCCCAATGGGCCAGTGTCATTCCCCGCTGGGCCAGGAGGACAGTCACTGCATTGGCACTTGGCCCAGTGCCAGGCGGGTAAGTTGGGCAGATGGCTTAGCTTGTCATCAGTGCCTCAGTTTCCCCAGAGGTGAAATGCGGGAAAGGACCTGTGTGTAGTTTGTGAGGATTAGAGATCCCAGGCTGGCAGGGTCCCCGGGGTGGCTCCCCACCACCTCCCGCCTCATGCCTTCCCCCCACTGCCTAACTCGGGCCTGAGTCGCGCCCGGGCCGTGTTTGCTAATTGACATGCTCTGTCCCGAGACCCGCTCCCGTCCTCCTGCAGCCTCTCCGGGAGGCCTCATGGACCAGCACGAAGCGCCGAGGGGGTGCGGGCAGCCCCCAGCACGTCCTGAGCTGGGGTCCCGGTGCCGGTTTCATGCATGAGGCTGTGCCCACGTGGTCAAGAGCCCTCCTAGAAGGTCCCAGCACTTTCCACTCTGGTTCCTGCAGGCTCCACCGTCTGCCCACCTTACTCCCCACGTGGCTCCAATATGAAGAGAAGGTGGTCTGCAAACCCCAGGCCCCGCGGCCCCATGTCACAGACTCAGTCAGTGGGGGTGCCGTGAAGTCAAGGCGGCCCCTGCAGCTCCCTCCTGTCCATCCACCCAGGCACCTTCCAGCTATCACTTCTCAATGCAAATAAATGCAAATCAGGTGACTGACTGTCATTGAGGGTGACCGGGTCCCACTCGGCCCTCAGAATCGGGGTCAGAGCAGCCTCCGGGGTGCCCCCAAGAACGCCTGTCTCCTTCACTGGGTGTCACACGCCTTTCCCATGTGACGCTGCAGCAGGGAGAAGACAAAACCACTGAGGCTCAGAGACTGTGGGGACCACACATCTCATTGACATTTATGTGCTTAGAGTTTAGGGGGCCCAGAAACTTAGATGGGAAAAATGAATCTCTATCTTCCTGAACCTTTCCCAACATCAGCATTTCCTTCTATTGTGAATGTAGCCAACACACAGAGCTTTTTTTTTTTTTTTTTGTGACTGGTAAGGGGATCGCAACCCTTGGCTTGGTGTCGTCTGCACCACGCTCAGCAAGTGAGCGCACCGGCCATCCCTATATAGGATCCGAACCCGCGACCTCGGTGTTCCCTGCACCGCACTCTCCTGAGTGAGCCACGGGGCCGGCCTAGAGAACTTTGTCACTAACTTACAAATCACGGCTATTTTTATCACGTTGATTATTGTAGTTTTTCGAGGTACTGTTTATGCCCGTGATGGCTCTGAAATCACGGCGTTGGTCAGATGGGGACCTCGTGACCTGGAGCGTTAAGCGGCACATGCCATGAAAGTATTTTGATGACCCCATCTCGGTATGATCAGCCGCCTTTGTAACCCCGTGCAGTGTTTTACTCACTTGAAAACTTTCTCAGAAGAGGCCCCAAGTTGCCAGCAGACACCACAAGCGGGACGGGAGAAGGGCCCCACAGGCCCCGTGCCAGATGCACGACCCTGTGACCACGCTGCAGCCCCCACCCGGCTGGCCGCGGCCACGTCCTGCCCCGATGACCAGCGTGGTGGGCGCTGCAGCTGTGTGGTAGGTAGCCGTCCCTTCCCTGTCCTCCTTGACAGCAGACCCTCCACTCCCATGACACAGGAGGACAACAGTAGGTGACCACTTCCAGGTGCTGAGAGGCCTGTGAGGTGGGCATCGCTGGGGACGGTGGTTCCTCCCTAAGTGTAGACAGAGGCCGCTGCCTCGTTTCGCACGTGTCCCTGTGCGGCACGACGGCAGGAGGGTGGGGTCAGATGGGAAGGTCTGGCTCACAGCCAGTGTGAGCCCTGGACCGACCTGGAGTCCAGCAGCTCTGGGCTCCTGTTCTGTGAGATGACGGGAGCCTCTGCAGCACAGCCTGTGCCTGGTGGGATTTGGGACACTCGGACCCAAAAGCTGTCCCCTGAAAATCCCCCCAGCCCAAGGGCGACGAGTTCAGTTCCCTTCCAGCAAGCTCCCCAGCAAGCCTGGATCTACCACTCTGAATCCGCTCACCATCCCTTTAACAATGACCCCCAAGGGACCTTGCAAGACCTTCAGGAGGCCAGCCTTGCTGAGACATGGTCTCTGTGCCTGCAGTGGAAATCGTCCCATAGCTACCGCTTCACCATGCAAGTCATGACCACACCTAACCTCCAAGGTCAGATCCCCATGGGTGCCACCTCAGGTGGGGCTGTGATGACCTCCTTTGCAGCCCCAGCCCGCTGCCTCGGCCACAGGGGCTCAGGCAGTAACTGCTGGGTGAGTAAGTCTTCTGGAAACACGATGGATGTTGCTTGCAGGCACACGCAGTTCATAAACACACACGCGTACGCTGTACTGTCAGTAAACTGCTGAAAAACACATGAGGACATCTAGGAAGAGGATTTGGTTTTCTATTTCTTTCTGTCCATGGACAGAAAAGAATGTGAGAAGAGATTTTATTTTTCTAGCTGGATATTTGTAAAGATGTGAAGTCACCCTGCAGAATCAAAGAGCTGAGTTTGCCTGGATGTTCTATTCTAGAAAGTGCTGCAGATCTGACCCTCTCTGCTGCAGACGAGAGCTTGCACTGCTCCCTCTCCCCATAGAATTGGGTGCCCTGTTCCTGCCCCCACATCCCACCCACACTGCCTAGTCTCGCCTCTTCTTCCTTGGCTGTCCCGTCTGGTGGCTTTTTTCGGTGTCCCAGACGATGGAACCCCCGGCCTCGGTGCCTCCTCTGTCTGGAATTCCTCTCCCTTCCCTTTATCCAAATCCCACACTAGGACCGGCCCGGTGGTGCACTCGGTAGAGTGTGGCGCTTGGGAGCGCGGCGGCGCTCCCGCCGAGGGTTCGGATCCCATATAGAGACCGGTTCGCTCACTGGTTGAGCGCGGTGCGGGCACGACACCGAGGATTGCGATCCCATTACCGGTCACGAAAAAAGACAAAAAGGCAAATCCCGCAGAACCTTCCAGCCATGCCCACGTGCGCCCCCACTCAGCCTGTGGTTCATTTTGAGGGTCATTTTGGGGGACATGAAACACGTTTTTTCCCCACCCTCAGTCTTCCTCTGGACTATCAGTGCAACATGTCAG